ACCAGTAAGTAACTAATTAATGTCCTATGCGCCAACACTGAACAACAACAGCAACAGGTAGCTTTACTTGCATGGCCATAAATACATCATTTAGTGTTGCAAAACTTTTCACCCATAGCCATGATGATAAAAATCAGTTTCATTTTCAGTTTCAATTGTAGTTTCAAATAAGCTACAATATTTCCATCGAGTTTAGCTGCGAGTTCCTTTTATGAAAGTTTTCGCAATGTGGACATCATTCGGCTGAACAATCTAAACCCTACATCTTTGGCCAAGAGGGTCCCCTATACCTCTTCTGACAACAGTTTCACGCATAAGTAATTGGCCCTTTCACGCATGACGAAAAATTCGAAAAACAGCTTCACGTTCACAGGAAAAAGCAAGCAATCACGTTTCACGTAAAAATGCAAAGGCTAGAACACGTTTCACATAAAAATACAAATTCTATTCAATCATCACAAAAAAATGTATTTAAACATTTTACCTGACATTACTGAAATGTACCACAGTAGATATAGCTGCACATGGCCATCCTTTGGTAATTTCAGACTCTGTTCTCGTCGATCAGCATGTCTAGATCTTTTGTGGCTTGTGTAATTGAAAAAAACATTGAGGTAGAGCGTAGGGTGACTACCGCTACTGTAGCTCGGCTAGTTTAGTTGATTTCACTCATTTTGACTTCTACCTCAATCTCGACATACATATTAGATCACGAGTAGTCCCTCTTTCGCTTAGTCCGTCGTGCGTAACGCGAAAGCAGAGGCGAAAAAAACCGCGAGAAAAAAATGGCCCCGAGAACTCCTGGGGGCGAGAAGCACGCGAAAGGAACTTCTCGTCCCCAGGAGTTCGCGTGGCCATTTTTTCTCGAGGTTTTTTACTCGTAGTCTACATACATGTTAACACTTTGCTGACATATATATTTCCGTAAATATATCTAAGCGATGGTTGAGCAGACATCAGTAAAAGTTGGATAGAGTGTGGATACTGACAGATAAACTCACCTTTTCCGCAGAACCCTCCAGTTTGATGCATCGAAATGGCGTGTGTGATAGATTCCAAGGATTCCTGGTTAATTCTCAGTCCTCCATCCGCAAGCGCGTCGAATGGGCAGGTTTTACATCTAGTTTGGTGTAGTTTAGGACGCTAAAATCTCCGAAAAAGTGAAAAATTATTCCTGCAAAAGTCGTTGGTTCACAAGTAAATGCATATTTCACGGATCACGAAAAAAATCGAAAACCAGTTTCCCAAGGACGGAAAAATATAGATTCGCGAATCATGGAAAAAATAAATCCGGAATCAATGTGGCAACCGCACCAAGAAGCTGATGGAACTCTCTAAAGAAAAGGCACACCGAACAGTGGCGCCACAGCCCCTGACTGACCAGCGTCACTGAACGAAAATTACACGTTTTATCTCTTAAAGACGAGTAACAGATTATGCTCGTGACTAATGGATCTCAAAAATTTGAAATTACGAAAACTTGTATATTATTAAAATAGCCCGGAAACAGCCCTTGCCTGACACAACCGGACAACAATATAGCCAACCATAAATCTTACTACAAAGACATGATGACGCAGTTCTTATACTAAGGAGATCTGGTAAATACAAATCCTTACCCCATCTTTCCTGAATAGATTTTAGTCTTTGTTTGTAACCTTAGTTTCAATTAAACTCGTCACATTTGTGGCCATTTATCCCAAACGATTTGTTTCTATTGTCGTCTACCTATCTCTTCAGCAAACTAGTGCGACGCCTTGCGGAGCTCTCGATGTCTTAATGTTTGCAAATGACTTAAGATAAAATATAGATACACGAATCATGGAAAAAATAAATCCTCGTTCACGCTTCATGCAAAGCAAAAATGCCCATTCACGGGACCCTCTGCCAAGCTAAATGTTAACTAAAACTTAGCTAAACTTACTTGATTATTTTGACTTTGTTTTCTTATTTTCATTAACTCGAAGAGATAAACTTTTGACAATTTTAGGAAGCGTTTTCTTTCAACTGTAGTGCAACTGATTGTGGCGTGTTTTTAATCTGCCAATTCTGAGGATCGTGAAAACCACAAATCGTGAGGATTGTGAAAACCACAAATGAAACATGTTTTAGCGCTTAAGTTCGATAAGCTGTTGCAAGAGAAAATGAGGGATGTTATAAATGAATTGGTTCATGCTTGTAGCTGTGCGTATATCGAGTCAGTATGGATGCACTTGAGAAGTTTGGAGAGCACTCAAAAAGCTAGAGTTGCTCTTACGCTTCTTTCGTGCTCTCCAAACTTCCCGCGTGCATCCATAACTCGATATACCGGCACGTTAAGCATGAACCAATTCTTTAGTAGCTGGCTAAGGGCCTCTTCATATGAGCCCGGTAACCGGGCTGGCTCGGTTACCGGGACGAATTTTTGTTGTCTGTTTATATGGGAAATTTCGGCCCAGTCGACCGTGTGAAATCCAAGAAACACAACCAAAATGGTGGAACATAAACTTGTATCGTTCGCGGCTGTCGCAGCTTTGTGGACTCTTTTAACTTTACTAATAAAGCTAATTTACATACCAGACAAAAATTATGCCATTTTTGGCGCTATGTCGCGAAAGCGAAGCTATTTTGTGTAAAACGTTTCGTCCCGGTTACCCGGGCTGGAGTGTTCATATGGAAAAACTTTCATCCCGGTTAGCGAGATCTCGGTAACGGGGCCAGCCCAGCTTCTAATATGAACAGATCGAAACTTTTACGAAAGCGAAGAGTGGCGAGGCGAGATCTCGGAAACCGTGCCAGCTCGGTTGACCGGGTTCATATGAAGAGGCCCTAAAATCCAGCCGAACAGTAACGATTATCGTGAACATGTCATAAGGTTATGATATAATATATGTATATATAGAAAGCTGAGATAGAAAGTAGATATAGAAAGTAGATTTGACACATTTGAACGCCTGATGACTGTTGCCTTCCTTGACATTGAAGCTATGTTTTTTTTCCTACAGTTACGTTGGGGCGCGATCCATTCAACCAAAATTTCCGGAAATTTCGGTCTAAAACTGAATGGATCGGTTCGGTCCAACCGGAAAAGTTTCGAAAAAATAGGTCCACCTTTCGAGGTAGACCACTTTTCTCGGTTGGACCGGTCCAATCGAAATGGACCGTTTCATTTGACCATTCCGACCCATTCTCAATCTCAGTCGAGGCGCAATTTAGTTCAAAGTACGGAACTTGATATAGTGAACGGGTCATTTTGCAATTTATGTGCGTTGCCTGTTGGGCTGGCGTTACATATCTTCGCTACACAGTGCTGAGCCCCAAGAAGGGCGAAACAGCTGATCACTGTTGCGATCCTACGTTATCGGTTCTTGTCATGTTGGTGTCTCGAAACGTTTTCACGTAGTATCACCCTTGCAGTCTATTGTTTGTCTTCAATCCCAGTGCCTCGCTGTTCGGTATTTTCCAGGAACATATAGGAAAACACTCATCAATGCAGCTTTTTGGGAAATATCTGGGAACGGTCTGCTCAAAATAACCCGTTAATATATACTGGTTAAAGTACTAAGCGTGAAACAGCTCACACAATATCATTGATATCACCGTCGAGATAGTCATCTAGCTCTAAGGAACAGTAATCCAGCATCCTCCATTTAAATGAGCGCGAAACTCGTTTTGCGAGTGGAATGGAACGAGGCCGTTCGGAAACGTTGCGATTCATTCGACACCAAGAAATTTTCGAACCTCAGCCCGGAAATTTTGACTGAATCATCGCGCACTTGGAGACCCTCCTGACAACGAGATTCCTGGTCCATTGTTGGGGGTGGGGAGGGGTGGGAACGGGTGGAGGGCAAAATTTCTGGAATGCCTTTTCCCAGAAAGCCCTACTCACAGCGTGCTTAGAATAACCACAATACTCTATGTAGCAGTCGTTTATTTGTATATTTTCTCACCAATCTTAGATCAATCATCTCTTCATGCGTGTTGAATTCTGATTTGTTGTCCGATTGTTTTCCTTGAGCAGCAGATTGTCAGCGGTCTCGCTAGCGCATAAATGCGCGCCAAACTTTCACGCACACAAATGGAGTCGCTTTGCTTTCACGCGAGGCTTAGAAAATGAACTCCAGTTTTACTGTCAATGTGATGGGGGCTTTTCCAAACAATGAGAGATAACAGTTGCAGGGAGTCTTAACCTTTCTTTAAGGTTCATGGGTGAAATCGGAATAATGGTTTCGCGGCTACAACACGAGGGGTTCGATTTGGAAGACATGATCGATGAAGAGTTACGGGCGGCGGGCTTTTTGGAGCTCTGTGAAAGGTACATTATACACGCGCTGTTTTTCCTTTATTGAGGTGTAGTTATGTGGGATAGTATTGCGAAGTTTTTTCTGTTTTGTGATTATGCTTCGTACGATTCGTGTTGACGAGTTATTAAGCGTATTGCCAATTTGGCAGATCTTTTGATACTCGTCTGCACTCGATGTACGGTACGTACGAATTGCTTTTATTCCGAGAAAGGTACGTCATCACTTTGTTGATAAATGCACTTTTGTTATGTTGATAAATAGTCCGTTATTTACATCATGGGGGATACTTTGATATCAACAGGTAGGGGCACATCAGAGATCACATCGCCACAACAACTAACTGACGTAAACTATATTTTCTCCACCAGTCTCCAGACAGGCTGCGCTGAACAGAACTTTGTAAACATATTAATACCCGTAATAATTATTCCCTCTTTCTCATAATTCACACTTACTGTAAATATGACTTAAACAGAGATGTCAGGAAAGTCAAAATTTTATATTTATAAATTTACTACTCAGAGCAAATAAAACTAAACAACCCCAAGCAAAGAAGCATACAAGAACATGGTACATGTATTCAGTTTTATCTAGATACCATCAATAATCGTCTTTTATTTGACACCTTGCCTATCAGTTTGCTCATTCCGTTTTTCATTATAAAAAGTTATCTTGATAAATCAGTCGAACTAACCAAATTTAAAGGGGCTCTATGCTATTCCCTTGTACAATGTTTTATTTTCCTCTTACCAGTTGGACAAAGTCACCCGATATTTCCCCCTGTGAAAACTGTAAAATTGCAAAGTTCCCACAAACCATTATTCAGTTTAGTGTATCCTTCTAATATGCGCCTCCTTTCTATAATTAAGTTCTCTCCCTTGAGTGCCATGTGTTTGTAAGGGCCCCTATTTTAGTTAGCATACCTTCCAATAAGTGCCCCCTTAGCAAAAGTGACATTCAATTAAGACATTGACATGGAGCAGACTGATCAGACAAATGAATTATAAAATCTGCTTTCTCATCTGAACATAATGGTGAACATGATTATCAGAACCCCTATTGTGACAGGTCTAGGATCAGAGTTACATCGTAACTGGACGTATCTGTTGTTTTTCATTTAAGTAATGTGGTAGGCTACCGGGAGTATTTCTACATGTACTCCCCAGATGGTATAGTTAAAAATGCATTGCTAGTCCATTGGAGGACCCCCCTGGCATGAAATTTACTTCATGTTGTAATGAGGGGGACACTGGGGGTTCTGAAAGCTGCAATACTGCAAAAAAAATTCAGCAAGCCTCGCAATATTGCAAAAAGAAAATTGCCAAGTACCACATTACTTCAATACTAAGTCAAAACTCAATGTCATACCAAAACCACTACTCTGTTTAGAGAAAATAACAATTAAGAATTTGTTAATGAACAGTATTAAAGTCAGGTAATTTCTGGATTAGACAAAACATACTTTTACATGTAGTTAATAGAGGAAAATGGTTAGGAGGGCTGTTAAACATCAAAGAAGTAAACAAAGAAGCGAAGAGTTATGTTAGAAGGTCCTTGACCCTGCACATCTTATGTTTTATGCTCATTAACTATGCATGAATTACATAATTGCAATGCTTCTATTGGTTATTTGTATGAGCAAACATAACCACCTCAAATTTGTGTTTTGCTAGGTTTTGTGCGGGGTCAATCCCTAAAATACGCAACAAAAACATACAACAAAGAACTTTTCTGTGTTTCGTAACCATTTCCCTCTATTAACTATGAACAAAATAAGCAAAATAAGTGACATCCATTGACGTGCTGGCTAATGATTAACAAAAAATTACTTACCCTTTTCCAATTGCCACAAAAGAAATTGCGGTTTACTGTTACCATGAAAACTAAGTTTCAATGGGAATGTCCAATCGGAAACTGGAAAAGGCTCGAAAAACGTTAGAGGACTTGGGGAATAATGTTTTACATGTAATACTGTCCAAAATGCTTAGGTTTAGACGACTTGGAGAATAATTTTTTATACTGTCCAAAATGCTAGAAAACCACATCCCACAGGTTCACAGAATACCGCAATGCCACATTTCAAGATTAAAATTACCAAAATACTGCAAGAAAAATTGTCCAACACGGCAATACTGCAACCCCAATGTCTCCCTCTGTAATATAAAGTGGGTGATAAAGGGGCAGTGTGAGAGTTAAGGTTACTTCCCACCTTCAAGAGTGAAAAAAATCATTTTTTCTTTTATTTGCCTAAATTGAAGTTTATCATTTGATCTAACATTTACACAAAAAAACACTTAAAAATCTCAAAAATTACCGATGTTATTTAACAAAATTTGTTTTCCAATAAAAGGTAATAAAAAATGAAGGTGTGATAATCTCATAAGTAGGTGAGGAGGAAAATTCGGAGGAAATTTTGCNTGATTGATGCCTGTTGAATAAGACTGTGCAGCCATTTTGCTCGTGCCGCGGCATTCGATACCCGATTAATTCACAAGAACAACTCTCGGTCGTTTCACAGTTTACCGGCTGCTGACACTTCCCAAAAGAAAAAGTCACTTAAATTATATTTTTCTCAAAAACTACATTTATTAAGCTTTCTACTGATATATAGTTTGTTTAGGTTTTATTGAAACTGGCACACGTACGAATTTTTTCCTGAAGGGCACCCGCGAAGGTGGGAAGTAACCTTAAGTGTTTTGTACAAGAATTCAACATAGTGATCCTGCCCAGGGCTTGAACCAGGACTGCTCGATCTGTAGTCTAGCACACTAACTATTACATGTAGATTACCACATTCTCCTGATGTAAATGATAGCACGTAACACCTGTGCCACTCCGTTATTTATACATTGTACATGGTACTCTGCAGCTGTTAACTCTGTGCATGCGCTCGAACATCAAGTCTGTCCCATGTGCTTACCTTTGATCACAGCTGGCTTCTATGAAACCTTCAAGTAAACGCAGTGTTTCATCTTTATTGGTGCAGTGACCTGATGCCAAATTTGAAAATGACTGATTAACAACATGACTTTTCTAAACATAGAAGTTAACAAAAAAATACTTGATGTATTTTATTTATTATAATTGCAGAACAACAAGAACTCTTTTGCAGAGGGCAGTTGCTGTGGAAGGTTAGTGGAACTTTCTTTGTTGCTTCTTTTCAGTTATCCAAACTCTTGTCTAGTGGAACCACATTATTATCCAACCGCAGATGACCTGTAAAAAACTGGTCATACACTTGTTTGTGTATGTATCAATACAGTTTTTTTTACAATAACAACAGAAATTCTTGCGCACTCACTGGCTAATTTTCATTGTCAATAAGTGGACAGACACACTAATTTATAACTTATGCAATGTGTCAGTGAGCGAAAGCAGACAATTTGTTATCATAAGAAAACAAATTGACATCAGTTTTTCATGGGTCTGTCCTGCTATTGAAAATGAATTCCGTCATGACATTGTGAAAGTAGTCTGCAGATCTGGACACTGGGCAATTGCCTCATGGATCCACAGAGCTCTACATGTAATTTGACAATGTTGTGACGAAATTCAAGATCAATAACAGGACAGACGCCTATAAAACTGACGTCAGTTTGTTAATTTAATCACATTTAAAAAATTCCGTTCAAATATATATTGTAGTTACAGCAGTTATAATCTAATTCAAATTCAGTCCACCTATTAGTTTATATACATGTACATAGGGTAAACGAACTTCTTAAAATTAATAATTTATTTCCAGTACACCATGTACAGTGTACATGTATGTTGAACTGAGGATAAAATTTCTGATAGTAATTTCCTATAACTGTAGAAAGTCATTCCAGTTTGAGAAGGCTCCTGGACTCCATTGACACACAACTGAAAGAATTGCAAGGCACCCTGCAGACACCAAGGTGAGCCATGTTAAAAGTCAACTCTATCACTTTCACTAAAAGTCTACATATGAGCCAAGTGGCCCATCAGGCCAGAGCTCATCCCCGTCTCTGTAGCATGAAGCGACTGGGAATATTTCTACTACCCCTTGGATGGGATGCTAGTCTATCGCAGGGTTACCCCCGCCCCTGCCCCCCAACATAAATTTTGCTGGTACCCTTTTATAAACCTGGGTAGAGAGAGGCACTGCCAGAGAGAGTGTCTTGCCAAAGAACATGACACAATGACCCTGGCCAGGGCTTGAACCCACACCACTTCAATGATCTGAAGACGAGCGCAGTAACCATGAGACCACTGCGCCTCCACACCTCACCTCACATTTTTTCCCTTCTTTGGTCTTGAATAGTTGCTGCATGATCATGCAATATCTACACCATTTTTTTTTCTAGGTTTTCTTCAGTTGTAATCAGTTGGTCTTATCCACTGAACATGGCAATTTTTTCTTATCTGCTTAAGGCAACAAATCAACCCTTTACACAACATTGTTACTTAGTTGACCTTGTCAGTGTTAAAAGAAATGGTCAAAATATAAATTGGATGCCAGAAATCAAATGAGCCAGTGTCTGATCTAGAGCGCGCCATTGCGGGATTGGTGCAGTTCGATAGAAGAAGTCCCCCAAATATTCGTCACCTGGGTCATTTTGGCGCAGCAAACATCTGCAGCTACTGACTTGTAATTTTCCTTCGTTTTCTAAGTTTTTCGAAAACTTTGTGTGATTTAAAGTTTCA